ATCATCGATTTCATTAATTTGATTGATATCTTCCGTTATAAGCGTAATTAATCCACATTTTTGAAAAAAGGAAGCATAACTTGATATCATATCTATGTCAACAGTGAGAGCATATGATACTATGTTACTAACCTGCGAAAGGGGCACATATAAGCTGACGTTCATGAAACTAGTTGATTAGTTTATATGCAGAAACCCAAACTTATCTAACGCGATCACAAGTGACCTTCAAGTTCCGGAATTATTTAAAAAGGTTGAACAAATTAGTAATTATTTGGGATTTCAACGAAGTGTATGAACTTATCGAACCTGCCGCTAACTGACTAAAAATAGTTTGGCTATTGCTCAGATTCTTTTTGCCGCCCGTGGATTACTATCAACGGCTTTTAAGAGTAACTTGCTTCGAAATGTTGGAGAACCAGCTGGAGAATTAATGAAATCATTATGACTGCTAGGACTTTTAAACTGTTAAAACTCAAAACCCCACATTTAACTGAACACAAGACACATAGATCAATAGGGTTTTCGGTAAAACAAATAACTACAAAATGAAACAAATCCTTGCTTAAGCATATGACTCACAAAATAATGTAAAATCATTTCAGTTTTTTTAAAGTATAAGCAACTCATACAGCTAACCTGTAAAATAATGATTTAAAAGTCTGTAAAACATTAATCTTTTGGCGTGAACGTGAGGTCAAGAAGTCTATTTTCGTAGATCGAGCAGTGGTTATCGTAGAACTTGAATTGTTCATATTTACGCATAAAAATAGAATGAGTAGTGCTTGTATTTGATTCAAGTAAGTGTATACGAATTATGGATCAGTAGACAAATTGTTTGCTTGACCTAGGTATTTTCAACCTATCTCACGCCTTCCCTGTCGATACGAAAATGGGGGTCATTGTTGAAATATACCATAAAAATTGAAGAATCTATCAAAAAACAATATAAGACACTAGGTTGTGAAAACCATAAATCGTGGGCTGAATCCTATCCATGGCCCGCGAATATTTGTAATCCATGACTGGAAACTTTCGATGAGACGACTTAACATCTATAAAGATTGCACAGATTGATTGATTCTTTCTTCATATGGGTCTTAATCTCGAGTTTCGGTTTCATTTTATACATCTTTTTCTACTTAATCTATTCCCTATTTGGAAATTTTTTCTTAAATGTTTATCATTGATACAAAGTTTATAAAATCTGAAATTTTAATCGATATCACTTGCTATATTTGCCAGTAAAAATCCCAATTGTCAATTCGCTACATCTGCGTACACTACTTAACCCATGGCTAGTGTTGTAAGCTTCAACCAATTTGATTTTCTAAGTTTAACCTTGAGTCAAGACCAGAACAACTCTAACTCCTGTTATTTCAGGAGCTATGTCTTCAATTCGAAAATAAAACTATTAATGTATATTTCAGGCAATGAATTTCAAACATTCTTCAGTTTACGTAGATAAATTATCAAACCACAACTCGCCCCAAATATTATATTCTATCTTATATGCAATCATACCATTAATGTATGATTGGTAGATTATTAATTGACAATAAATGTAAATGGACGTAGTTCATTCGCCTCTAATTCATAATATTTGCAACTTATAAACATTTTTTATTGTATAACTTGAAAATTAAATGACTGGTCAAATCATTTAAGAATTGGGTGTACCTTGGACTCCTTTTTTATCATAGCGGGAATTATTATGTGAGTTAAAATTAATTTGATTTCTATATAGTTTTACTCAGGTGTAACTGCCTAATAGAAAACTTTTATGGTATGAAACATTAGCGAATTAATATCAGGGCCTTGTAAAACATTCTATTGTGAGTGATTTATCCTTTTAACGATGCAGCATGTATAGTAATCTATAGGGAAAAGGTTATAAGTTTCAGCTTGGTGATCTGGAGATCGACAAAAATTATTAAACAGATGAGATAATTGTTGGAGACGTTAGATCCCCAGAACTCACTGGATTAAGGTCCTACTTTTGAATTTTATGTTTTTGAGCATGGGCGGATCAGTTGACCTTGAGATTACATTCCCCACCAGGAAAATCGTTGGCTGTTATTGGTTGTGTTATTTCAGTGAGCTATTTTTGTGACTCTTTCAATGACGTTTCGATCATGCATAAATAAACTGTATTTGTGTGCTTGTTGACCCCGTATTTTCTAGGTGCTTGTAGAATACACTTTCTACGCCATATCAAAACTTCTTGCTATACTTAGCAGGGCCGAGGACAGTATAGCCTATCGTGTCACTGTATCATTACTTTGCTCTCGTTTACCCGGTAAGGTGAACTCGTTATAGTTTCAAGCATATCAACTGACGAGCGTATCAATAATACATAAATGAAACTGATTCATTTGATGGTTCCAAAGAAGCCAAAAAGGAAGACGATGAAAAAAGCCACACAAAAACACACACTTGCGGACAGTAATATTATTACTTCATTAATGGCATGAAAAATTATACTTGGACAATAGTTTAAACATTATGTTGTGATATTTCTATTTTCTTTACAAAGAAATTCCTAACGATAAAAACTGTTTCTTTCTGATTTTTACACATTTGAAATCATCAATCAATCATTGTTAGACCACCATTAGAAACCTGGAAGCACTGGACGGCCGTTTCGTCCTGGTATAGGACTCATCAGTGGCAGTGCGCATCCACGACTCACTAGTGACTAGCTTCCTGAGGAAATTCTCGGAGTTCTAGTGGAGAAGACGTGACTAATGGAGCTCAATCCTGTCGGGTGTAAGCAGTAACTACCAAAGACAAATGGGTGAGGTCGCGCAGAAATCCGTAGATCAATCAGAGTTAGACATTAACACCGTTAGATGCCGGCCCAGTGGTCCGATAGTTGGGCGTTCGCGCACAATACCGAAGGTTTCGGGTTCTAATCCTACGAGGTGCAGGAGTCATGGACGCGCACTGCGACTGATGAGTCTCATACCAGGAAGAAACGGCCTTCCAGTGCTTCCAGGTTTCTAATGGTGGTCTAACAATGATTGATTGATGATTTCAAATGTGTAAAAACACAGACCTCCAAGACTCTGCCCGAAAATATCTTTCTGATTTGTTTTGCTTTTAATTTTAATGATTAATCAATGAGTGAATAAAGACAGTGACGAATATATACAAGATACTAACTATCCTTCTTCTACTTCTTCGACTCATTCATTCATTCATTTATTAAAGTCAATGTTTGCATTATCGACAAGTATGTAAGGAAGTGGAACATAGGTTAATTAAAACTACTGAATTGGTATTGCGCTATTGTAATCATAGTTTTTATTTAAGTCCAGACATTAATCACAATGTATATTATCTTCTACTATTCACAATATGGAATGGAAAATTTATGGTTAATTTGTGTGAATCTGCTCTTGATATATTATGTCTACCATTAAATGACTTGAAGTTAAACAGTTTATTATATCACCATTCAACTAACGAATGGATAAACCCAGTCAAACTTGAACTGTTATATGTTGAATTGCATTTCATATGCTCTGTTAAACACAAACGTTAGTTATGTCAATTTCATATTCTGCGTATGATGTTTAAGATGATTAATTATTATTTCTCTTTATATTCATTTAATATTCCTGTGAATTTTGTGTGTAAATCATAAGAAGTGTAAACGGATGAAATGTGAATCAATGACAACCTTTTTTCTTATCCAGGTATGCTAATCATTATTAACTTGTCATAATCACAGACTGATTTATCCATTCCAAAAACAAGGAGAAATTAGATTTGATTCAGAATATTCATTGACAATAATAAATAAATTATTCATTTACTACTTACTCTCTTACCTGTGATAAGAGAACAAGAAACATTTTAGTGAATATATGTTTGTGCAGTTTTTGGCATTGAGACTAAACTCATCATAATGAACAATGCTACTATGTTTACCATTGTTATTCTTACACTTTTTCAAATTAAAGAGTTATTACAGTCTAATGTGAAAATCCTAATAACTCTCTGTACCTTAGACCTTACTGGTAGAATTGTATCGACCACAGTAAACAGCGAACTGAAATAATGAGCTGCTATCAAGTTAATGTGCTTTCTCTCTCGAAAACTTGTTTAATACTTGACTATAGTAAACAGCTGAAGTATTCCGTTGTCAATATCAATCAGTTAGTATCGTTATCTCTTATGCAATTAATTGGACTAACATTTTTAGTGTTGACATTTTTGTTGTACCTTAAAAATTACTATGTTAATGCACTACGAATAATAAGAAGTATTGATGTACTGTTTCATGTTTAATTGTTTCGATACTCCGTCGATTACGTTAAGAGAATACTTAAATGATAAATAAGAAACAGATTTTCTTGTTATCTGGGGTAACAAACATTATCGCCGACTTCATGTGAAAGCCTGCGAACATTTGAGATCTAAACAAATAGTTCACTGAGTTTACTGACAGTATTATAACTTGATCGCTAGAATTCAACCAGAAATATATGTGATAGATCATATATTGTTGAATAGTAGTAACATACGCCTTATTTAATAATATATGTTTAACTATAGAGAAAATTCTCGGCACAAAATATATAAAACTGTCACAAAATTTCTGTCCGATAAACATTTAGCTTTCAGTAATTTAAAAAAATACATATAACAGCCTTTTAACAGTGGATTATCAGTGCCTATGAATATCTTGGCCTGTTACATGAATTCACATCACTGCCCTGCATCTTCGCATTACAGTGGTACTCTTTTTGAGTTTCTCAGTGAACTTCATAAAAGTTCATAAAGTACATTGAGGTGACAGCCGTAATCATATTTAAAAACAGGGAAACACAAGCCGAAAAATCGATTTTTGAAAAGAAAATTTCTCAGAAATTTGAGCATGCTGTCATTTCACTTTATTCCTAATAATAATCTCATCAATTGATCGTTAATTTCTGGTTTCTTTTGTTTTCTCTCTTGATATTTTGATTTGTGTCTATTCAAATGAAAATTAGGTTTGGTAAACGAAATTACAATCTAATAGAAGATAATGGTGATCGGATGAAAAACGACTTGATCAATTATCTTCTTCGTCAACGATTATTACGAAACTATTTAACAAAGAATTTTGATAATGATGGTGATGAAAACTTCGTTCGAAAGTAACATTAAAAATAATCAAAAGAAATTAATCTCAGTAATTATCGATCATCATCAAGTGAACAGTACACATTATCATCATCAACATGTTAATGATTCGTATATTTGAGTGTATTCTGATTGTATTTGTGCCAAAATGCAATATGTTTAATAAAAATAAATTTTCCTAATAAAAATCAACATGTTGGATATGGTTTGTTTCATTTCATTGTTCAATGTTAATGAATAAAATATTGAATTCATTCAATAATTTAATTCAATCAATGAATTCAAGTAGATAATTTAAGAAGAGGCGCTCGATACTTGTTTCATTATAGAGTATGAAACTATTCAATAGTGTATATCTGTAATCCTATCATAGATGCGAATTTAGGACCTTTAGATTCCATAGAGAATAAGTTTGAAATATTTCATGAAAAATGTTAGGATTTGTAGTAGCTTAGAAAAATTACGAATTACAAACGACAGCAAAACTCTTGTCAAACTATGTGAACCATATAGATTAGATGGTTAAAACAACAACTTGAACAATCTAAAAGAAAGTGGTGTTAGGAACTTGAAATAAGAAATCTTAATATTGAAAACAGTCATCATTGTACAAGATCAACCTGTTTTTATTTATCGTAAAAGGTATACTACCATGGTATAAGCAATCAGGAAATGAAAACTGCCTTCATACCTCTAATAGTATTCCGAAACAAATTATCACCAAATATTATCATGAGATATAGATAGAAACAACCGACCTAAAAATAAGAGCAATCAGTGAGAAATATTGGCAAGAGTCAGTTAAAAATAATTAATCAGAATTGTGAGTTTGTGTCGTATGATAGATCGAAATCGGGACAAAAGCAGCCAATGAATGCTTGTGACCTAATGGCTAAATAGAGTCAATCCACACAGGATGCACATATGCCAATTGTGACTGGTCAATCGCAGTCTTAATTAACTATTATTAGGAAGATTCAAACTACCAATACAAATGAAGTGTATTTCATCCCATTGTGAAAGCCAATGAAAATCTGAACTCAGTAGTACCCATAGCGTTTGGAGCTAAAGGTACTGGGGTCGAGTGTCGAAATGAATATCAACTTTGAGATGTAGGGCATATCCAGTTGACGAACTGCAAATATAAGACGAAAAGCGCTTTAAATTAAAATTAATTCATGATCTATCATAAATTTTAAGTTTATTTTTGAATAGAATAAACGAATATAACCTTTTGTAGCAACAAAAAAAACCAACAAATCAGTAAGTAATATAAATAATAATAAGTGAAATGCGAAGAAATAAATTTTTATTATTTTGTAGAGAGACAAAATTAAAAACGTTGGAAGATTGTAATTACACATCACAAGATTATCAGTAAAAACTCGGGGAACAAAAGTATCAAAAAACCATTCATCTCAGTTAGTAATGTTGAAATAGATGGAGGTAATAAATAAATTTATTGCTTCCTTTTGAAAGAGAACCAAACTTGGGATTGAATCGATAAATCATCATTCTTGTCGGAATATTTATTCACTCTAATTGAAGAAATAAGTATTATTTGAAAAAAACACACACACAATGACCATAACCCATTATGAATTTTTAATTATAGCTAATAATAATAAGCCTTTCAAATAATCATCCAGGATGATTCTTCTAAGACTTTTTCGAATAAAATTTCTGAGATAATCAGATTTAATGGAATATTTCAACTAACTCAACCAGTTATAAGAGATGCAGAACACAAAGTAAGTCCAAGTTTTTATACTATATCAACATAGTGAAATGAAATTATCAAGATGTAGTCGTAGTAGTAAGAGTATTAGTAGAAAATACCAGTCATAGATAAGTCTTATTCAATAAAGAGACTAAGATAATTCAAGAACTCAGGATTCAAAGGAAGAGACAAAGAATGCTCAACTATGAATGATTTCGAATCATATCACCCAGTCTTCAATAATTAGTTGTGATAATCGAGCGAATCCCAACCAGATAAACTGCATCTACCAACATGATTCATTCCAACAGTTCATAATAATAAATGATTTCAAGTCATGTTATCCAACATCTATAAGTATGCATTGATATTATGTTTATATCTTCCGATACAATATAATTTAATGACTGAACGAACTAGTATTGTCTTTTCGCATGACCATAGTTATCCTTTTCACCTCATTCCTATAACAGATATCATTGAAAGTTGGAACAGAAGTTGCATTTATATGCAGTTGTAACATTTACCCTTAGTACCATTACTGTCATTAATTTTTATAAAAACTTGTGTATATTTAATTAAAAAAACCCGGTTAGATACTAGCACAATCAGCTTGAGGCAATTTTTCTGAATTCAACAGACTTGGAAGAAATGCATACTAATTCAAAAATCTAATGAGACAAAAAGTGATCGGCATTATTTTTTTATTAAAATCAAAAAATCACAATAAAATTACAACACTTATGAGGTCAGTATTAACCACATTTATGCGATCTTGAAATGTGAGTGACTTATATGTAATTATTTTATATCACATATTACTGTGCAATACTAGATAACTGTATAGTGGGTGTACTAATATGTAAAGCCCATTGGGCTTCTCCTAGATTTCGGACAATCTAATTAACCTTTTCTGTCTGAGTCACTATTCCCTCATCTTTTGATCATGTCAATCGTTCGCTCATATTTTTGGTTTTTTTTGAGTGTACGCGCATACCTACTTCGCTTATTACATATCTAGCCTATTTTGTCTGACTATAAGTAGTCATACCTCATCGCATTGATTTGGCTTCCTCGCTTTCTCCACATCGCTTTACTATTTATTCTCATGTCTGTCTCCATGGCCAGTTGCGTGAAGTAAATTCATCCAAATGAATCCCTATTTAACTTCTCATTACCGCTGTCTTACAAACGGAGTTTGCCTGAGTATTATATACAGAAATTGAAGGGAATACTTCACAGAATATCCGATCATTAGTCCAAACCAGAGTCAGATCACCAACCACTAAAGTGGTGATCAACGCAGCCGCTAAAAACGTTCTGGTTTGGAGTTTACGCAAAAGTTAAGAGCTTCCTTTTAAGGTAAGGTCTACGAAATATACCGATTATTTCCAATTACCAGCTCAATTGACACTTTTAGACAGCACGCTTTGAATAATTTCAGTCGATCAGTCAATTGTTTTGCGAACTACAACAATCTTATATGTTTCTTTTATTTACTAATTAGTTGGATCCTTAACGTTATTACAAATTTTGAATTACTAACCTATGCGACCTTTAAAAGGAGTCACTTTTTACGGACACCACTGCAACACTCTATACGTTTACTTATTATAAGAATTGAGTTTGATATGTCTGGTGTTTGATCATACAACGTAATACAGCTTCTATGTAATTTTTTCATTTGACCTCTCAAACAATAAGAAAGTTCAGGATAGATTTGACATTTCGTAAATTTTCCGAGTGACAAATAACTAATAGCATTACAGCTTTCTGAGCTCAATGGTCCACAGTCTGTGCTCCGAGAACTTACGAGACACTTTCAGCTGTAAACTTGTGCATTATGTGTATGGTGAATGCTATTCACAAAGTAGCACATTAGTAGCATGTACCGTACCGTTGCCTAGAAAGTTGTACCAAAGAGAATAATGAAAAGAGATCGAAATGCATGGTTTAAAGACCAGAAGATATTTGGGATAAAACAGTCAATAACCTGCTTGTTTTGCGAATGGAGGACTAAAGATAAGGGGTACGTATTTTGCCAGTAAACTGTACTTACTGTAAATATATATATATACTATTTAGTCCGGACGCTTTTATAAATAAATCACTTCTGGGACACTCAAAGCATAAGGTGAGCGTTTAATTAACTTCACTATTTTTACCAGTGTTAGTATCTCCGATGAAATATGAAGTATTATTTTGTGAAAAAATAGTACGTATTAAGATGTTTCGGTCTACTTTTTCTGTTACTTTCATCTTCTGATACATTCTGCACAGCTTTTCAGGAAATCTAACCACTTTTAATTCGCTTAAACTTGTGAAAAATCTAACTGATTTTGTCCTTAGAATTGTCGTTTGATTTATTTAGTAGTAATTATCTATTTAGTGTTAACTGTTGTCACTTAAGCAAGTGTAGAACGGAACACTGTAAGTAGTTGATTTTCTCAAATTGTAATTACGTCTAAGTAGGTAGTTTTTTGTTTATATTCTAAAGTATAGTCATGCTGAATATGTGACTGATAAGTAACATAAATTTTCAAAACGAAATAACTGCATCAGAAAGGAGTTACAAATTGACGATAGATTTGTATTGTATTCAAGTGACTTTTGTTCTAAATTGACGTATTACATCGTTCCTCTGTGCGAACATGCTACTATCTGACATGTAATGTTTAATGTTTTCGATACTTTCCTCACTAGATAGTTCCAAGGACACTTAACAATCTACGGGAATCCCATAGAAAGCCTAAGAACTAAGCATAACTGATATAATCTGTAGGCCTGTTATATTTACCATCAAACCCTGTATAGTATTTAGATTCACTTTCACTGGTCCTCTATTGACTAAACAGACATTTTACAGTTATAAAACTTTGTTCTGGGTAAATAGTCTTATCGTTAGGGCTTTGACTTAATTTTGTGGGTTCAAGGGGAACAATAATTAATGGGTATCCTTACATAAAGTATAGTCATTTCAGATCCATGATTAGTACCTTACTCATCTGCGCTTATAGAATTTAGAACTGTTTTGTTCAAACGTGAGGTATGATGTTATATCTGAAGAAATGATAATAAAATTAATCTTATTTCCTTTAAATAGGACTGATAATTTTCTACTGTGTTCTCGATGATGACACAAACTTCTCACTTTATTTCTTTGAAAAAGCTCACCGTACATGACAGTTAAATAATCTCAGAAAAAGAACGTCCTACTATCAAACACTGAGATCAAACTATCGAAGTTAGGTAGCTGCTGACAGAGCAGACACATGATCACAGCATAACTTACACAAGATTAGTATGAAGCGCGTCATTGAGTGAGCTGATAAAACCGAAATATTTATCTGTAAAGTCTGCACATATATACTGATATTTTTCAACTTGCCCGTCCCGCCCAGGATGGACTCTTCCTTCAACAAACTGG